GCTGCACCTTACAGTCTGAGATTTCCTCGGATTGACAGGGTGAGATATGACAAACCCTGGTATGAATGTCTTGATGTGCAATGTAAGTAAAATTTATCAACTACTTCTTAATAGTAGGCACCATTCATGTTCACTATAACAGATTTAGTCTTCTCTAATTAAATTCTTTATTCCTTAAAATTTGTTAAATAGCTTGTGTTGATGTCAATCTGATGGACATTGTAAACCTTAGATCTTTTTTCCTCTCTTCTGTTTCTGCAGCATTTATAGAATTAGTGCATTCCGGCAATGGCACAACAAAGGCGAGCACAGAGTATGGCAGCATGCAATACAGTAAATCAAAACGCGTGAAATCCTCTAAAGGGGAAGGGACGAAAAACATGTCTGTTGTCCCTTCTCATTTAATTCAGACTGATGTTTCCAATGTTAAGGGGGGCTCATTAATATTGTCGAATATGATGTTTTGTATCCCCGAGAGCCTAGCAAGTTACTTATGATTTGTTCACAAGATTGCTGACCGTCTTGTTTTTTTGTGACGTGTCCTAGAAAACATTTTGTTCCAAGTTAATATTTATCAAAATAGAATGTATTTTTGCTGTGGTAAAAATAGTAGGAAAGACATTTCCATTTATGAAAATGCTATGTTGTCACCAAGAAAAAATATGTCATGTTGAAGACATTTTAAGAGCTTTAGGTAATAATCCTCCAAATCAGTTGTCCTAGGTCCTAACTGGATTGAAAAGAACAGCTTCTCTTCCTTGCTGTGCAGCCAAGGTGCTACGAGGAGAGAGAAGAGAGAAGTGGGGGCTGATTGGACCTATCCAGCCGTGGTCCCTTCTTCTCTCTCTCTCTCTCTCTCTATTGGTACAGTACAGTACCTCTGCTGCATGGCCGAGAAGCCAGGTGAATTGAAAAGTCCTGAGGGTGCAATAAAATTTTCCTTGACAGATACAGATTTTGTCAACGTGCCTCCATCTCATTCTCTTGATTCCTTGCATAAGATGATTGCTGAGAATGGGGGCACTTTCTCGATGAACTTGAACAATTCAGTCACCCATTGTGTTGCAGCAGATAGCAAGGGTACTCCCCCTCTCTCACTCTGCCCCTCGCTCTTCATCTTTCGTCCTTTTTATGTGCATGCGTGCAATTTCATGAGAGTGCAGGCATGCAAAAGGGCCTAGTTCTGTTTCCCAAATATATAACGAAGGGTCTTCTGGCAGGTTTTAAATTTGAAGCTGCAAAACGTCATGGTGATGTCATTCATTATAGTTGGGTGTTAGATTGCTGCTCGCAAAAGAAGCTTGTTCCCTTGCAGCCAAAGTGAGTAGGGTCATTGAATCTTGACTTATTTAGCTTCATTAAAAGCAGTTCTGACGGGTATTCCTTTCAATGGTCTTGTTTACAAGGTACTTCCTTTTCCTTTCTGAACTCACAAAGAAGAAGTTACATGAAGAAATTGATGAGTTCTCAGACTCATACTACTTGAATCTTGACCGTGCGGACATCAAGCAGGTAATACTAGCTATTTTTCTCTTCTCAAATGGTCAGAGTGCTGTACTCTGTATGCTAAACATGGAAGCACAAGGGCCAAACAGAGGAGAGAATCCAAGTTCATTTGATAATTACTCTGGGCTGGATAGATTTATCTTGACTTCTGTGGTGCTTTGCATGTCAAAATGAGAGGGGGAGAGTGGATTTTGCCCTAATCTATTACTTTTTAGCCTATTTTTTTATTACGGTCATGCCTATTATCTCTAATAGAATGGGGAGCTATTCCCCTTTCAAGAAGTCTCAGCCCTGTTAGGAAAAAAGTCACATGAAAGTTGGAGGTGAAGGTCAAGTTTGTCTGGTGAAATGTGGTATACTTTTCCCAACTAAGTCGGAATTTTTTTATGCCTCTTATCCCTTTGATTTTAGCACGTTTGGGGCTGGTTTTCATAATGTAATGAGCTTTTTGAAAGAAGTAGCACCTCAATTTCCTTTTGTATGGACCTTTTGATGTAAGAAGATGGCCTTTATACGTCTTAATTGCTTGACTGGTATGTCTTTGTTTTTTCTTAAATAAATAAAATCAACCTCAATCATATACCTATGTAATTGTACTTTAACTCTCTTTCGTTTCTCCTCTAGCTCTTGAGCAATATTCCCAGATCAAAGAAAGACATTAGCACTATCGACTATTACAGGAAAAAGTACTGCCCGAAGGATAAGTGGTTTCACTTTCAAGGATGCTCCATTTATTTCCCCACTTTTTTCCCACCTTCGTAAGATAATCTAATTATTTACCTTTCCATATAAATATTTACAATTTAGGTTATGATGGTTATTTTTCTGTCTTGCTAAAAAGCTTTCTGATTATTTAACATTTTTCATGAAGGAAAGGAGATTGGGAAGTTCTGTTGGGGCTTTCTCTGAGGAGATTGCGGTCTGAAGTTCTCATGAGCGGCGGCAAAGTCACTGATAATCCCACTTCTGCTACCCACCTTGTGGCCTTGTCAGTTCCAGGATATAATGTTGACTTTAAAGGAATGTTGACAAGGTTAGCTACTTGTCTGTCATCTTGTTAACCATTGCGTCTGCTGGCTGTGTCATCGTGGCTTTTCATGAGTCTATCTTGTCATCCTGACTTAGAATCATTTTATTCCTAATGATATTATGTGACTTCTTTTTTTTTTACGTGGTTTGCACTAGAGGTTCCTCTTGCGGGAAAACTAACCTTGCATTTGTTCTTTTCCCCCTCCTTCCCGGGGGTGGGTGGATTTTCAACTGCGTATAGTTTCACTCCATTTGAAGGAAAATTTCTTTCAAGCAAGAGGTTGCATGTTGTTGGATCCCGGTGGCTTGAAGATTGTTTGGAACAAGGCCAAAGATTACCAGAACAAACATATACATTAAAGCCCAGCGGAATAGAAGAACTAACTACTGAAGAGTGGTGAGTTAAAATTTATAGATGATAATCCAGATGTCTGAGACTTGTGGTTTGAGAAAAGAAAATTTTTTGAGAAGCTACTGGCATGAATACGCTGAATTTGACAATGATTTTACCGATGCTAATAGTTGCGAGTTTGATATGCCAGTGGAATAATGATCAAGCGGACATTCTTAGTTTCTTTTGGATTAAAAACATTTTCTTTTGCTACTTCACTTAAAAGGTCCACTGATAGACCTTGGTATTTTAGCCATCACATGCTGCTCTAAGGAATTTAGCTTTGTTAATTCAATACCTTTCAATATAAATGCAGAAGCTGATTAACGTGATGGTTTTGTCCCGACTGTTTCAGCAAACATGACTTGGCTTTAGATGGTTATTGTGGTGGAGATAATGTAGAGGACCGAAATTCGACACTTGTCTCTTTAAAGGGAAGTCATCAGCTGAGAAGTGCAAAACCTATGGAGGAAAGTTTGGTATCCCTGGAGAAGAGTGGCAAGAGGAAACGAGGAAGACCTGTAGGCAGAGGTGGCAGTAAAATGGTTAAAACAGCCGGCAACCAAACTCATCGATCACGAGCACGTATTGGAAAAAGACCTGCAAAAATATGTGACTACGAAACAGATGAAAGTGGTTCTCATGATGAAAAACCATATGAAGGTGAGATTGTCTCGAGAGGATTCAGTCTTGACTCTCATAATGGCGCAGAAGTCACTGAGACTGTGACATCACAAAATCCTCAGCCATCAAAACTAGACGATGCAGTTAAGCAAGAGGATTTGAAGGACGTTGAACATGAAGAACATTCTGTCCCCGAAATTGAAATGACTGAGCAACATAATGGCCAAAACAGTAGGGCTGAACAGGTTATGGCTGATCCAATACAGGCGATGCTTTTTGACATGTTTCCTAGCCTTGCGACAGAGGAAATTGATGAAACAAAGAATGATAACGTTAAAGATGATAAGCCCCAGGAAGTTGTTGAAACAAAGAATGATAATGTCAAAGATGATAAGCCACCTGAACAATCCAAAGCTGAGCCTACAAGGAAAAGAAAGTCAGCTATAAGGATGTTGCTAATGAGCTGCTTAAGGATTGGTAGAGCATCGTCTCGTTGGAATGCTAGGTATTGCTTCCTTTCTGTATATAGGTACCAAAGGTTTCCTGCCAAATTATTCACTTTCTAATCTTGTTATCTGTCTTTTCCTTTGCAACCCTCACATCTGGACTTCTCTTCCTCAATGGTAAGTTGTTACTAGTTTGAGAGGATGATGGTTGCTAGTTAACACGTACCATCATCGAACGCGAATTGGAACACTCTATCTGGCGCACGCATCTTCTGAAATGGCATAAAAATTTTATATGCTTTGTACTGGATCTAAACAATTGTATTTTGTTCTCTCAGAATGAGAAGATAAATTAATAGTTTTTGGTGTATTGCTCTCTTGGCATTGAGATCTTGAAAGTCAGTCTAGTTAAAAAAGACAATTAAACAATTGAAAATAATTGCCCCGTTGCATTTGTTGTTCTGGAAGTCTAGATAGTGAAAGGGGAGAGAGAGGGTAAATCTTCTAGATTCTCTGTGATCTAGAAAAAATTTTTAAATAAAAAAATTACTTCCTTCCATCTTAAATATAAAATTATAAATCATAATTTTCATTTTCCTAACATAAATTTTTAAGTATAATTAATATTTATTTTTAAAAGTATTCTTTCCAAATTTGTTTGTAGGCAACTGAGATTTAAAACTAAACTCTGATTTTACGACATGAAGGTGTATTATGCCAAACATCCCCTAAATAGAAAGAGAAAACCAGTTTCATAGGTTTCAGTAACTCCTTGATTTGTACATTTTCAAATTGTCATTTGTTTGCCTAGTGCTGAAAGATTCAGCCATGTGATATCTGTCTCTAATCCTCGTTACAACGATTTTAGTTATAGATGCTCACCAGAGGAAAAGGTGATAAATGATGCTCACGCATAAGATGACCAGCCTACTACCAAACTTGAACCTCGTAGGTCGGAGCCAGGACAAACTAGCTTGATACAGATAATAAAACTGAAAAAGTAATTTTTATGAATAAATAATTACTATCATATCTCTAAGAAATTAAGAAAAATCTATTAAATAACAATGACAAACATTACCCAAACAAGAAAAAATCCCTCCCCTTTACGGAGTCTAGTAAAAGAACATGGCTTTGAGAGAGAGATACGGTTTGGCCATTAAGAAAAGGGCAATATATACGCTGCAAGGATGTCATGGTTTTCGGTATGAAGTTACAACAAAAAAGAATCCCAAGATCACCAGCCATATTTGGCTTGTGTTTCAGCTTTTGTGAGCATGCCCTTCGCACGCCGCTCAGCAAGTTCTGATTCTTTTTGTTTCATATCGAAGAACAGAGAGCCTATTTGATGCTTCCTCCTATGCAGCTTCGAAGGCTTCCCCTTTGCTGAAACAGGCTGCAAGCGGACAGAGGGGTCAACAGAATAATCTTTAATGCTAACTAAATGACATAAATTCCATTTGGTGCAATTTGCTTTCTTTACTATGTCATCGTGTTCTATGGACATTGTTCACATGAATTAGATCGGATCGACCTACCCCCAACACGCATCATTCTCGTCATGAACCAACCTAGACATGAGAGTGGCAAGCTACACGCCCCTGAACCAGAGGTAGCATATATACATTCCAAGGAAGGGGGTAAATTGTCCTTTGAATATGACATGGCAATCAAGTCTTATCCTAGTATGAAAATGAAGAGGTAAATCTGACATACAATAAATCTCAAATTTAGACGAAGCTCCATGGTGAATAAATCATATACATAGCAGACTGATACCAACATAAAATCATAATTCTGTTACTGCTAAACATGCATCCAAAAGAAAATTATCACACAAGACGGAAGAACAATGAATATTTCTTTTCATAGAAACATAACAAAGGGTATCTCTGGTTTTATTTTATTTTTTTGGGTTAACTAAAGAGGTAACTATTTGATTCAGCAATATGTATACCAAGTAAAAAAACATAACCCAATGAAGTATTATAAATCTCCCTAGGCTGAACACTGCTATTGATTACTCCTCATTAAATTCTAAATTAATCAACCCAATGGTCCAGTAGCATTCCCACCGCAAATTCGCATGGCTCAGTTTTCATTCGGGACAAGAAATCCAACAGAATTTGCCTTTAACAGATACTCCAATCACTATTTGATCATACTTTCACATCAAATAGAAATGGAAATGCTGAGGGAAACAACTAACTAACGGAGCCTGACTACTATCCAACTAAAGCTGACAGCCCGAACCCCCCTGACTGTTGGTCAAAGTTTAATTTGCAAAAACCATGAATTGAATTTTGACGGTCAAAACACAGAAACACCAGCGAACAATACCTGATAAGAAGGTCCGAATGCTATCCCTGTTAGCTTGACCTGGTCCTCTCTTGGCCGATTCTTAATTAACTCTTCTTGCTTCACCTCGATAATTTCCGAGGGAATCTCACTCCTTCCACGCTTCCCAGACACTTTCACCCCGTTGTCCCTCATGCCAGATATATCAGGCACTTGTGCCCCGTACCCATCAGCCCAGTTATTTCCATATTGTCCGTCATCACCATAGGCATTATAATTTGCATGTGCATCATTATTTACATAGTATGACGCAGGGGGGACCGTATTAGCAGTCCTAGCCTCCAGCTGACAACCCACATTCTGATCAATACCCGAACTATAGTTGCCATAACTACTACTATCCATATAGTACCCCGGATTTTGGTCGGTACCATATTGGTAGTTGCTATAACTCTCATAACTTGCATAATTCCCTTCATTTTGATCAGCGTTAACGTTATTCTCCGACGCAGAACCATCAGCGTTCGATGCCTGTGCATCCGTTTCAATTATTGACCGTCGGCCTGAACCAGATGATGCTTGAACGCCCAATGTAGCCGAATTTCGGGGAGCCGGAATAGTGGATAAGAAAGACTTCACCGACGAGGTTTGAGGCGTAGACTCCATCTTCTTTCTCTCGTTTTCTGCTTTACGTTCCTCATCGTCATCGTCATCGTCGTCATCCACTTCGCTAGATTTCTTCAAATGAATTATGGGAGGCCGGAATTGAATAACTTTTTTGGTACTGGGGCCAGAGGCAGAAACCCTAGGAGCGGGTTCTGGCTCGATTTGGGATTTAGGTTTAGGGAGGGAAGAGAAAAGGGAAGTACGCCCACTAGATTGATAAGTGCTTATTGAATCTACCTCATAAGCATCGATATCTTTATTCATCGTTGATGGTGCCGCAGACGACGGATTACTTGAGCTGCTTTTGGGTTGAGGAAGAGACGAGAAAATAGAGGAAGATTTAGCGATGCTTCCGGAGCGAGTTTCCGAGTCATCTTCACCGCTTATAGCATTCCTGGAACTAGAGGATTGCTTAGGTTGAGGAAGGGATTGAATGAGGGAAGAAGATTTGGGTTGAGGAAGAGACGAGAAGAAGGAGCGGGTGTTTGAAGACGTTGACTCAGCATGCTCAGAGTTAGGTTTAGATGAAGAGGAAGGGATTGGTATCTGAGGTTGCTCTTGCTCTTCATCGTCAGAAGACGCGTAGTTCGCTAGCAGCGAATCCATGCGAGAGGAGAGGGGTGCCTCAACAGAGACACGAGCAGGGATCAGGACTTGGGAGGGACAAGCAAGCAAGAGAACGAAAGAGGGAGAAAACTGGAAAGCGGCTCGAGATTGGGTTGAGCATTCTTGGGCTTACAGTATGTTTGCTTTAAAATGGGCCAGGTAAAGCCCACCCAATACAAAGTGGGTTTACATTTAGCCCCTTGTTCCCCCCCCCCCCTGTGTTGTCTTAATAAGCCCACCAGTACAATATTTTAGAAAGAAATGTAAAAATGCTGGGGCATCTGCTGTATGGGGGGAAAAAAGAATAAAACTGGTGCTGATACTCTACTCATCCAAGTCGTTTCTCTATGCGGTATGAATCTCCTGAGCGGCTAAGGATCTAAATTTGTAGGGTTTGGACTCTTCTGTTTATCTCTGGTCGGCGGTCCATTTTAGCTGCTTAGTTGCCATTGACGGAGGTGAAAGGAGTGGGTGAGGGACTTTGATGTGCTGAATTATATTGTTGGTTCTATCATTGGAAGCTGGCGAAGATGAACCGTGGGTTCAAGCGAATGTTGACTGCTTTTGGTTGCCTTTCTTTGTAAAATTGGGTGATCTGATTTGGGTTCCGTCAAGTGTTGGGATAGAACTCGTTCCTCTTACTATGGATGGTGAGTTTGTGCGTGTATTGTTGGAGACTTTGTTGAACCATGTTCTCCTTCCATGACTGAAGAAGCAGCAGCCATGCACTTGGCGGATGATATGTCAAAACCTAAGATCTCTTGCTCCTGTTGTTTATTTCCTTTGCTAATGCATTTTAGCTTTTGTTGATTTTCTTTTGTCATGCTTTTTATTTGCTGTTGCTGGTTTACGAGTCAGAGCAACAGTGACTACATATCCCTGAGTGTTAAGGGATGAAAGATCCTTCATTTATTGGGGGATATTGTAAGCCAAATCTGTCCTAGAATAAGTTAATTAGGAAATTTTCCTAGTCAAAATTTTGTGATTCAATGAAGGATCTCTAGTTTCACTAAACTTCTCTCAGCCTCCTTAATCAAACAGTTCGAATTAGATCAGTGCTGTAGAAATTCTAGTGCGAGAACTAACATGAAATGCAACTTTATTGCATCAAACATCAAACTTACAACTTCTAGGTTTTAGTACATAAAGCAGAAGACAAACCCAAGCTTTCTAAGAAAACAAGATCAGCGACTCTCCCACGATGAAAACGTAGAGTGAAACGACGAAGAAAGAAAGAAAGAAAACCCCAACTTGTTCTCTCTGAAGTTCATCATCGATCGATTAGATGCTCATAGGGCTATCGGGATCATTAAGAGCTGCAATGGCCGTTTGGATTTTTATCTCCAAGAGATCTTTCTCTTCTTCGTCTGCCTGAAAGAAACAAAAGCAACACGACAAAGCGTGGTTCAGTAGCGTACGTAACTCCCTACTTAGACCTTTCAGTCTGAGGTGCTTGTTTAGATGCATTTTGCAAATTTCTGTGTAAACATGAATATGCCTGAATCTGGCATTGTACTCGACCACTTCTGTCAGTTGGTGATAAATCAAAGACAATTACATATCATATTTCCCCGTTACTTTCAGATTCTATTGGATTGTTCAACTTTCCTTTCCAATCAGTATCATTGACAAGGACTCTCAGTTACAATAAAACAAATTTTCTTTCGGCTTGAATAATCTTGCTATAGTTAATTTGATGTGACTACTAGCTAGCTGATTCATTAGTTCATTCATGACGATTTATAGTTTTGACTTTAGGAGCCCCCCCCCCCGCTTAAATAAATGGCAGAAAATATATATATATATCTTTGTTGGTTAAAAACACAAAATGATAGCACAGAATAATGCATCTTAAAATAAAGAGGGCCAAGTTCAAGAGAGACTTTGGAGTAAGCTTATCAAGTTTACAGTACATAATAAACAGGATGTGTGTGTGTGTGTAGCAACAAGAGGGCATCTAATAATAAACTGGAAAATAATACTTCTTAAATCTCAATTTAATCTGTAAACATTTTCTTCAATTAAATTTTTCACCATAAAATAGCATGTGCTGGACTCTCTAGTCGGTTAAAATTCATGTGGGATCTAAATATTGAGAGAGGATTAAATTGAGATAGGAGTGATCTTTCTAATATTAACAAAAAAAATTATGTTTTGAATATTTACTAAATCTAAAAAAAATAAATTAAACAATTTACCCTCGTTCCTGACTCATCAGCTCCAAATTCCAAGAGCAAGACATATGCATGTTAAGTAGATTTCCATAAGAATGAAGATGATTTTCCAATATGAGTATATATCTCACTTGATTTTGAACAAAATAATGTTATAAAAAGAGGCTTCTATGTAAATAAAATAAGTTTGAGGTTCCTACTGACTAAATTTTCAAACAAAATTAATTACTCAAAACTATCCATATCAATATCAATCAACATTGTTAGTGATAACGAATGAATCATGTAATATAAAACTTATATAAGTTATTAATAAAACCAATAAAAAAAAACATAGATATCATGCTGTTACTCGAATAGCATCCGGAACTATTTTTTTTTTTGGCATAACATCCAGAACTATTTTTGTCTCTTCTAATTTGGTTAAATGAATGGGACTGCCAATTTTGTTTGACTTCGAAAAATTATTTTCAGACACGTTTTTTGCTCTGGAATTTTTGTTGTGGGGCAAAAGATGGTGGGTGTTACAGTTTATCACCCTATTGAGGTTCTCTACAGTCCACGACCACGCTGCGCGGATAAAGAAATACGTGGCAGGAGTTATTTGGGGAGAAGATTCTCTTTTTGTTTTTTTTAAAAATATTTTCCTTTATTTTTATTCTCAACGCTATATTTTTCCCTCATAAAAAACGAGAACCGTGATAAAAAGGTTTTTTAACAAAAGGGAATTAAAAAGCAACATGACTAGACGGCACAAGCTAAACGACACCCCATAATAGTGCGGTGGATGTGAAATGGCCTTTTATAATTTCCATTTTCAAAATAATAAACACATACACATAGATAGAGCTTAATTTTCAATTGGGATTAAAAGGGTGAATTTTCAATTGGTTGGTTAAAAAGCTTTCTATTGAAAAATTAAATCTATAAATATAAAAAAATATATAATTTTTATTTTTAAAGGGAAACCAAATGAAATAAATAAATTTTTGATTAAAAATGATTATTAAAATATAAAAATAAAATTTAAGAGATCGGCGTGGTACTTAAAAAGGTAAACTGATTTTTTCAAAAGAAAAAGGAAGCAGTTGGGCTTATGTTGTGTATTGATGAGTCAAAATAAGGACCGTTCAGTTAGGATCCGTGTGGGAATACCGCATGGGAGTGAAGGGCTAAGATTCATTGGAGCAGCCGAGTAGGAGAGGGCCCACGAGGAATCCAATTAAAGAGGTCCGAAATAGCAGAGGGTGAATATGTGGGCGTGCTGTGTTATCTTGGCGTGAGTGGATGTGATCGAAACCGCGTGCGATTTAAAATTCACAAGGACCATGTGGGGGGTCCAATTGTTATGGTTGTGAATTGTGATGGGGAATTGAATTGACGCCGGCGTGGTATTTTCCCAATAACAATCACGTTTTAAATTCTGTGTTTTGTTGGTTTCTTAAAGTTTGATTTTGTCCCCTTCGGCGCATCAACCTCGTTTGGGAATCTTTGGGAAGTTTCTGGTTAGCACCTTGGCTTGACTCGTGCTCCAGATTTGGATTTTCCCCTTTTCTTTCTCACACGAGCTAAATATGTTTTAAGCGGCCTAAACACTTTTGCCGCTCGTGGGACATCTTGTTCTTGCGGTCACGCTGCAGATCCAGTTTTCAAGTCAAAGGTAGTGTTTCTGTTTTGAGGTCGAATTTACATCATTTTCCAAAATTGCCGCACATGATAGGGGAGTGCGCAAAATCAAACCCAATTCATCAAGAAGGCAACCAGTGTAATTGAATTGAGTTCGGCCTCTTCAAGTTCAGGTTGAGTCTTTTAGTTTGGTTAGATTTTGAACTACTTTGGTTCAACCTAAAATAACCCAATCCAATCAAAATTTTACCATGTGACGTTCTCAGAGAATTCTTGAGACTTGGGTAAAAACCTAATGAATAGTTACGTTTGCGGTGGACCTAAGGTAAAAACGTAATCAATGTGAATATTTCTATTGCTCACTGATATTTAGACATATAATCTTAAAACACATGGACTAGACAATTCAGTGGAATATTGCTCACTGATATTTAGACATATAATCTTAAAACACATGGACTAGACTATTTCAGTGGACTTGAGTAGGACTTGGGAAGTTAGGGTGGAACAGAGCAACGAGTTATCCGTCTTGCGAGGGACACCTCATGGCTCCACGACAGGAGAGACCGCAAGATTCACCTTTATTAAAAGCTTTAATTAATTAATCCCTGATATATTGCATACGGGCCCTCTCCAACTCACTTTCTTCACTGTCTCTTTGTATTCGCAAACCCCTGGAAATTTACAGCCTTATCACTCCCCTTAAAATATTAATATGCACTAATGCCTCTCCACTTTCCCTTTTTCCAAAACCCATCAATTTCATCCCAGGTAGGCCCCAACCCAACGTCTTAAATCTGATCTTATCAGTTTTTTAATTATGTATTTATGAAGAGAATAAAGCGGTGGCATCTTGATGTGGTAATTAACTTGCATAGAATAAAGGGGATGGAAAACTGACCTCGACAAAGACTGTCTTCACAAGCCTGCCCGAGAAACAAGTTATGTTGGCCGTAACAATCTTCAGCTTCAGCGATTCGAACACTTCGCACAGTTTCACCATTGTGTTTGTCCTCTTGCTACACGTCAAACTCACCACAATCGTCTTCTCTCCCATGTACGTTACCTTTAGCTGTTCCGCATCACATCGAATCCAAACCCGCGTGTTAAAGGGGGTGTAATAAAAAAAAAATAAAGGGAAACTCGCCAATTTTATAATTTCAATAATAGAAGAGAGAGAGAGGGTGGGGATTTCCATTTAATTCATTAATTGGTAATTTAATGATCACCTCAAGTACTTCGATCGGGCAATTCCTTGAACTGATAACAGAATCGTAAAGCTGCTGCTCTGTTTTCTTCTTCTTGGACCTGAGCAGGACAGGGAGGTCTTGCTCGTAATCGATATCGCTCGAGTTCTGCTTCATCTGCTTCCCAGATTCAAGCTCTGATATCTCCGACTCAATACTCCTCTCTTGTTCGTGCAAGCGCTGGATGTAATCGATTGCGTCCTTAATTATGGAAGCCTTGTCCATCTGCTCATGTCAAATGAAACGGTCACTCCTCAGTCCTCATCGACCATCTCCAGACTAATGTTAATAATAAATCTACTCGAATTTGAAATTTGATGCTACCTTGCTGATGTTTGGGACGACGGCTCTGAGAGCGAAGAGCCTCTCGTTGAGCTTCTTGCGGCGGTTCCGCTCGGACACAATGTTCTTGGATGCGGCGGAGGAGGCACCGCCGTCGGGGGAGCTGGAATCATAGTAACCGGAGAAGGCCTCATCCCATCCCCAACTGCCAGGTCAGGAAATAGAATCAGAATCCGAATAATTTGAATCTGCAGATCAATTGTGCGCATAGATGAAATGATTAGAATGAATTTACCTGTCGAGCTCCTCGGTTTGAAGGAACCTGTTGGTTTCCCAGTAATGCCTATACTCTTCGCCGATATTCTCCATGAAGAGGGAGCCGGAGATGGAGTGAGAGAAGAGAGAAGCAGAGTATAGTGGTGTGTTTGGGGAATTTTGTTTTTCAAGTGAGGGGTGGGGAATTGGGAGGTGAGGGACATATATAGGGGATTTAATTGAGCACGTGGGAAGATTAGGATGTGGTGTGAAGAAAGAGGATTGGATAGAAGCTTAAAGAAATTATGTGATGTTGCGGCCGGTGTGGGGAATACACCCTTTTCAGATGCTGGGTGTTTCCTTGAAGCATCTATTTCCCTTCAAACCAGTGTCCTCAAACGCCGCGTTTCTGACCTCTGAATTGAGTAAATTCCTGACGGAAAAACAGCCCAAGTGAAATATCATTATGATAAACAATAAACAATTCTTTCATTCTATGTGCAAAGGGAAAAATTAATAAGGATTTGTAAAAATTTACATAGTAAACAGCTGTGTGTAAAATAATATGCAGTATTCATAAACTACAGATAATACCACTCATACTTCAAATTGTATAGTATATGAAAATATATAAAATTTTATCTTCTTTTTTTAAAATGGATCAATTACACAGATAGGCTTAGATCCTGATAGAATTTCGTGATCAGCACTAAAGTTTTTATGAAAAATCTACAATAAAAGAAGATTAGTCACCGCTATTGACGGTAAAATACCACACACTCAATAAAAGAAGTAAAAAGAGTAAATAACAAACACAACCAGCACATTTATAAATTCATTCTTCCACTATTTGGGATTAGAACTCACAATATCCTATTTTTAAATAAACGTGAATAACTGAGATAAGAGATGGTTGGTGATGTAGTTATATATTAATTAATTAAATTAAAAAGTATGCAGTACGATTTTTTAAATTACTGTACCAGTAAAATAGGGTCGAGTTGGGAGAGCACACTGAATTAATGAATTGGGGTTTTATTGGAAGGGGAGTGTGTGTCATCATGGTCAGGGGTCAACCTCCCACTCGGTAATTGAGAGCTTGGTCCAGCCAGCTCTTCATTCCTCAGTCTCACGCAGACCACGTTAACGCGGTCTTGGCATCGCTTTTACCCAATTAATTTAATTCCTTCATTTTCTTATTCCTTTGATCACTGGATCAATCCAATTAAATAAAGGATTAATATAACCTTTAAGTTTACTCTTATTTTAGTTTTGATCCTTCAAATTTCAAACAATAAGTTTTGTTCTCTCTAGACAAAATAAAACTTGAAGGACCAAAACTAAAATGACAATAAATTTGAGGGATCAGAATTTGTATTAACCCTTAAATAAATGTATGCTCCTTTTGTTTTGTTTTATTATAAATCACTTCCAACATTATCACTAAAATTAAGAACAGGCTTGCCACTCATTAACCTCATCCCAAGAAAGTTCTATTTTTGCCTTTATTGAAATTACATATGAGATAATTTTATAAAAATAAATTAATACCATTGAACAAGGAGAATATGATGAAGATATACTAAAAACTAAAAACAGAGAACATGGTGCCCTATAAAGAAAACAAAAATAAAAAATAAAAATAGAGAACACAGTGCCTTGTAAAGAAAACAAAAAATTTCTTTAAGGTGCGTTGTAATTTTTTTTTTTAAAATTCATATGATGTATGTTTGTATCATTACACATAATTATATTGTTAAATTATCTAACATGCAATTAAAAATCTGAATATTTATTTATAGCGCATTAATATATTTTTGTATGCATGCTTGACGTCTCCCATCATTAGACATATTATTTGTGTGTTTCACAAACAGGTCATGCTAATCAGTAATACTGTTATGAATTTAATTTTTTTAATTAATGATAATATATTATATGAAGCGCGTAAATAAAATCCAGAAAAAAGAACCGATCAATGTAATAAGAAGTTATTTATTTATTTTTTTTCAATACAAATGTAATAAGATGTTCTCCAATAATATTTATGTGGATAAAAGCTTGTAACTATTTCTGGTAAAGAATTTTCTTAAAGTCTATGCTCTTTATTGGTCTTTTTTTTTTGGGGGGGGGGGCTATACATGGATCATCAACAAAATTGCACCGACCATTTTGTGCTACGAGTTGCCGTCCCAATTTGTGGGAAAGTGAGCTTCTATTTCTGTTGGTGATGATTATTTCTCTGGGCCTAAAAATTTTTTATATGAATATGTAATTTTATTTTTTATTTAAAATTGTGTTGATTTTGTTCTGATAAGATATAATATATATTAAATGAGGATAAAGTTTAAAAATCATTAAATTTTAAATAAGAGTTAATAAAATTTAAAATTTTTCTTAATTTATATGAAACTTGGATGTCAACTAATTTATTAATCAATTAGGGCATCACAATTTTTAGATATTTTTTTCTTGGAGGAATTTATTTTCATCAGACTATGTAACTTTAGCAAGTGAATCATATTTAGGAAACAAAAATAGATCATCGCCTTACGATAATAGGGCCGCATCTGTGTTATGCGTACTGGGATCTAGAGATATTTGTTTTTAGGAACCAGTTTGGTACTCAGTAAATCTGGATTGTTTAGGTTTAATATGCATAGTTTAATTTTTTTTACAATTTTGTTTTTTTAAAATTTTTCTGATCGGTATAAAATCCAAAATAAAAAAATTCTCGGTCATTAACGTTTAACAAATAATTTTTAATTTAAAAATTATCTGCTAAAAATTTTAAATTTAAACTATTAAAATTATGTTTGAATTATGTAGATTTTAGCTCAGTAATGAGCTGTGAAAGTAGTTGTTGCTCATTTGTGCGGAAAAACAAAATAAATAATATTCTAAATTAGCTAATTATGTTGATAAAAGTGCCAAGAAAAAACCCAACGAAGAAATAATTAAACAGAAATTTTTATACTCGGATCAATTTGAAAAAATATATTTTTTAATATGTTATGAAGTAATTTTTTTTTAAAAATTCTCAAAAAATACCTCTAAAATTTTAAAACCCAGATCAGACTATAAAAATATTTTATTTTTTGCTTTTCAAATGTTGTCAATTGTTATTACAGCAGAATAAATAAGACTTATTTAAAATTTTGAAATTCAAAGGCTTTTATTTTAAATTTTCTTTCATATTTTATTCAGTAATATAACATAAAATAATAAAATCACTTCTTGAACCATCCAAACCAGTAAAAGATAGGAGAGTTACTTTAAGATTTCAAGGAAGGAAATTAATTGCTAAGAAATCCTGATAAATAAGACCTATTTAACTAATCTGATTAAATTAATAATGTTAGGTAAGTTAATTAATTATAAGAAATGTCACATGTTTTTCCTAAAATACCATAATCATCTTTCTTAATACCTCCTCTTCTTCTACTACTTGATTATGGTTGGGAGAGTCTCTATAGAGATAATTTAGAGAAAATTGATAAATATGAAAAATAAACCTTATATTTAAAATAAAAAATAACTTAATAATTGGATTCTATATTAAGAACCGAAGGAATAAATATCTTTCTTAGGATGTATTGTAATTCTTCTCGTTGAGCTGTGAATGTGCTGTCAGGGAGCCCAGGCGGCGGTGCCAGTGGGCCCTGAGGAGAGCGACAATTTCATGGGACCACGTGGTCACGTGGGATGGGAATGCATGCAGGTGATGGACGGCGGGGATTGAATTTGAATTTTTGGGAAGAAAATGACTTTTGTCTTCCTCTGAAATATTTTGCGGGCGGTTGGTCATTATTACTGCATGATGCGAAAAAGGCATGAATTTGAGCTCTTCTAGATTGTGTAACATCGTATATTTTTTAAAGTATTAGTGACATTGATAATAGAAAATTGAAAAAATCCAAAAAAAAAACTCTTGGAATATAAGAAATTTCAGCGTGGGTCCTAAAATTTTGTAAATAACAGAAATGGTTAATGACTCAATCTATCATTTGTAAAATTAAGAGGAATTGACAACTTTACCCTCATTTATATTCATTCACTACAGTGATTTAAGGAATCGCTATAAGAGTTTAGCCGTTATCTAGATTCGTGTGGAGAATAACTACTCACTTTTTCGTAATCAGGTGCTTTGTTATTAACTACAACTAATTATGTAATTACTAGAACCGTGTAAACGTTACCTAAATTCGTATAGAGAATGATTACTTACTTTTTCGTAGTCAGGTACCTTGCTATTAACTGCAACTAATCATGTAATTACTAGAACAGTGTAAGTGTTACCTAGATTTATTTAGAGAATAACCACTCATTTTTACTTAATCAAGAAAAAAATGTCAATTCTTTTTTATTTTACAAATGACAAATTAAGTCATTGACCCTTTCTGTCATTTACAAAATTCCATGACTAAATCTGGAATTTTTTATATTCTAAGGGTTTTTTCTGGAATTTTTCCTAGAAAATTTTTCTTAAAAAGACATTTAAATAACTCAAATTCTAATTTGAGTCATTAAATTTGTTAAACTTATAATCAGGTCATGTGACCCCAAAAATTTTTTTCAAGTTTTATGAAATGACTCGAATACTTGTTTCATTAGAAATCAAAAGAGAATTATAAATTAACATATTCCATCTCGCAGTTAATATATTTCAATTATAAATTAACAATTTTTTCTCTTCATACCACACTTACAATAAGTATTTTAATAAAACTTGATTACAATACAACTTTGAAAATTAATAAGTTCAATTGCGTAGTTAACAAGTTTCAGTTCTAAATTAACAATTTTATGTCCCTATAATACTCGCAGTAAGCCTTTGAATAAAACTTGAATACAATACGATCTTAAAAATTAACATATTATATTTCAAGTTAACATATTTTAATTCTAAAAGGGTGTTTGAATTAACCCAAAAATATTTCTAAAAAGTGTTTTCATACAAATCAAAACAAAACTCCTATCACACACTTATTTCATATATCGTAAAATCATTTTCAAAAGCAAGATTTGGTTTTCACTCAAGCACCCATAGATTAAAAAATTTTGTCTCCAAAACACCCTTGCAATAAGTTTTTGTATAAAAATTAATCACAATGCAACTTTAAAAATTAATAAGTTCAATTACCCAATCAATACGTTTCAATTCTAAATTAACAACTTGAAAATGATAGAAAATTCTCATTTCT